CTGTGCTCTCGCTCTCGCTCGCTCTCTCAAAAAATAAATAAAATCTTAAAAAAAAATTAAAAGGAATGTAAAAACATCATGAAAACTACTCCATGACAACCAACCCTTCCTCAATAGCGAAGAAACATCATGGAGGCTGAAAGAGGAGGAGGAAGATACCAGCTGCTTCAAGTTTTTCCAATTCTAGGGCCTAGAATGGTGCTTAGTACATACTGCCATTCAATAAATACATGTTAAGTGAATGAATCTGACCACTCATTCCTTCAAAAACTTACTATCTAGTCACTGTGCTGGGCACTTTAGGAAAAAAGAATGAATAAAGCCTGATTCCTGACCCTCAAAAGCAGTCTAATGGAGAAAGACACTTAAGTACATAATTGTAACACTATATATACAAGCTGTAATAGAGACATTTTCAGCTTTGCTGGCAGTATCATAACCAATGAGGTTTATTCCAGGCGAGATTATGGCTAATATAATAGAGACCTTCTAACTGCTAAGGGGGTTAACAAGTATGAAGACATATTTGACAACTGCTTTGCAGTTCTGAATTTGAACTATTCAACTAACCTTCATGAGTACTCCAACCATAACAATCATACTCGGTTTTCAAAATACTATTAAATATTGTTTTGGTGACATTCGCAATGTTTTATTATGACCTGTATGTCTGCAACATGCACTAGCAGCACCTCATATACCTATCAGAGAGAAGAGAGACCGTATCAATCCTCTCCTAGGGCACAGAATGCTTACTGTATGTATCACTAACTACATGCTCAAGTCATAGCTACAGTTTACCAATCTTATTATGTGATATAAATAGTAGCATAATTATGAATTTTAATATATATCCAATTCATCATATTCTCCTGCTATCTCAAGCTAACAGTAATATCAGTAAACATCAACAACAAGGAAGATATAAAGAATATTGCAGGGAATAATGCTATCCTGACAGAAGAAATACCATTAATGTGGTAGATTAAAGATAACCGTAAATTCTTTGTTACTGTTCCCATTGAGAAATGAAATCTAAATGCCTTTCCCTTGTTGACTATAGTTAGTAATACTGTACTGCATATTTGAAAATTGCGAAGAGATTAGATCTTAAGTTCTCATTACAAGAAAAAAAGTTGTAACTGTGTGGTGATGGTTGTTAAATAGACATATTGGGGTGATCAATTCACAATACACACACAAATATCAAATCATTATGCTGTACATCTGAAGCTAACATGTTATATGTCAATTACCTCCCCAAAATAAATAAATAAATGCCTTTCCCTTGAATTTGGGCTGGTCTTAGTGATCTGCCTGACCAACAGAATGCAGAGGTGACTTCCAAGGCGAGGTCCTAAGGAAGCTTGAGGTTTCCACTTAGGGTTCTCTGGGAACATTCACACTCTTGCTCGCCCTGAGCCAGCACAGATCAATACTCTGGAGTCCCTATATTGCACAAAACACATGGCCTCAGAGAGACCTTGTGACTTTATGAAGAGCCCATCCATCCCAACCCCCAACCATATAATCCCAGCTGAGGCCCCACACACCAAAAAGCAGTGGTAAGTCCAGCCCACAGAGCCCTGCCCAAATTGCAGATATATGAGCAAAATATAAAACTGCTGATTTAAGCCACTAAGTTTTGAGGTAGTTTGTAAGGTACCAACAGATAACCAGAATTACACAATGCTTCCAAATCCTTGACTAAAAGGAAAATAAAAGAAAATCATTTAGACTCTCTCTGAGGTGGGAGTGGGGAGAGTGAACCTGCTCACAACAGATTCAGTTAGCATTTCAAGTAAATCAGTCATCCAATTATTACAAATTAACAGACCTGAATTAAAGAGCTGAAGTTCATGCTCCCTTTGATGACTTGGGCATAGGGGAGAAGGGGGTTGAACACTATAAACCTGAATACAGGGAAGAAGGAAGGGAAAATATTTGTTCAAATTACCCATACCCATTTTGATAGTAAGCTTCTGGTTCTATATAAGTGCTTAGATTTGCTGCAAGGTGAGACCAGGCTAAAGGAGAGCACCCAATGAGATCTATTATTGGTTAAACGCTAGTCTTTATCCTTTCTGAGGGGTCATGTACCTCTGATGAAAGCTATGGGCCCTTTCTCTCTAAAAGAAAAAAATACACGTGTACAAATACAAAACACCATACAATTTCAATGGATTTTCGGCCCTTAGGGTCCATGAATTTTGGGTTTAGAACCTGTTCTAGAGGATTATTCAGTAATGGTTCACAAATCCACTAGATAATGCTGGCATTGTTAGAATTATAAGAAAGTATTTCACTCAAATTCACAAAATAATAATTTTTCACTCATCAATGGAGAATCCAGCAATTTAAGTCGTTTGATATTAATGTCCACCTGTTTTTTAACCTAAAATTGTTACTCAACTGCAGTATCTTAGCACCAGACAACAAACTTCTGAGAGGTGCCTCAGAAAAGGCATCCTTCTAAAAAGATCTTGATTTAAGCTAATATTGCCTCTTGGGCTGTGGTTCAGTCTCATGCTGCTGGTATTGCACAGTAATAACTTGAGATTCTTACTCTTGCTCATAAGCCTCTTAAGGGTAAGAGTTCAGCTTCGTACCACTTTAAATCCTTAGCACCCAACACTGATATTGTACTGGGTCTTGATTATTAATAACGATGCTGGTGAAACAGACTAGAGCAACAGTTCTCAAACTTTTTGGTCTCATTACTCTTTTACACTCTTAGAAATTATTTAGAACCCCATAAAGCTTTTGTTAGGTTTGTTATATTTATTGAGGTCTACAGTATCAAACACTGAAACTGAGAAATGTTTTAAGTATTCATTAATTCATTCAAAAATAACAATAAACCCACTATTTATCAGCAGATAACATATTTTTTATTGAAAATGTTTTTGAAAACAAAACTAGCGAGTGACGCCTGGGTGGCTCAGTGGTTGGGCATCTGCCTTCAGCTCAGGTCATGATCCCAGGATCCTGGGATCAAGTCCCACATTGGGCTCCTTGCTCAGTGAGGAGCCTGCTTCTCCTTCTGCTTGCCGCTTCCTCTGCTTGTGCTTGCTTGCTCTTTCTTTCTCTCTCTCTGACAAATAAATAAGTAAAATCTTAAAAAAAAAAAAAAAAAACCTAGCGAGAACAACACTATTTTGCATTTTTGCAAATCTCTTTAATGTCTGGCTTATAAGAGAAAACAGCTGGATTTTCACATCTGTTTCTACATTTCAATCTGTTGTGATATCACACATCATGTTAGTGTTTAGAAAACACCAGTGAACATTCATGAAAGGATGACAATGAAAAAGACCAATAATTCCTAGTATTATCATTAAAATAGTTCTGACCTCAAGGACCTTCTAAAAAAGAATCTGAAGAACATCTGGCCACCTGTTAGTGTACAAAGTCCGTTATTTCTTCCTTCATGTCTCTTAATGACTGGAATTCAAACTGGAGCAATAAATTCTACAATTTAGTTTATAACTCTTTCTGTACATTGCTCTTTCATCAGACTATAGTAAATTTCAACATGCTTCCTAACATCAAAATAAAAGGCTGATGAAACTAAGCATTTACCTGTTCTTTCCTCCCTCGTAACCAAGTAAACAACTATCCAGGGAGATACTTATAATGCCACTTATAATTCCCATACCAATTTAGGAATTAATCTAGACTGTTAGTTAAGAAGATCCATCCAAAACTAATCTAGATTATGATTAAGCTATAAAAATATCAGTGTACATTTGCCCAATAGTACAAATCCACAAAAGCCTCACTTGCTCTCACCCAGTGGTACAAAACTGAACCGGGTTAAAAGCCAGGGGAATAACTGTGTTAAATTTAAAAGTTCAAGTACATTATGGAGTTGAATGAAAAACAAATTTTCTAGATAACTATCACTAAACAAGCAAAAGATCCAAAAAGACTTTTAAAAGTCAAAGTCTTCTGAGCAAACAAAACGAAGTCCAGACAAAAACCTTATGAATTAAAAACTAGCTATAAACGTGGTTAACTGAAGAAGGATGAGGAAGAAAAACTTACGAAGCAAAACTGAACACTCCTGATCGAGTGCAAATCCCAAGTAAATTCTTGATATTAACACTGAGATGGTACACTCTGCCGTTATAGCTTTCACAGCTTTCTGTGACTATTATGCAACTGCTCTACACACACGCAGTTTTCCTATCCTTTCCCTCAAAAGTATCAGTCAGCTTGAGGTTAATGCCCAGATGAATGTTTTCTGTTGCTCTGGCAGTTTTGCTCTACTTTGTTTCTTGGTTATTCTGAGCGCTCTCTTACAACTGGAGAGTTGCTGAACCAATCCCGAGTAAGAAATGGGAAAGTACAAGAAAAGAGGCGACAGCTCTGCACCACCACACGGAAAAAGACTCAGCCGAGCAGCGGCGGCCCTGCCCTAGCTGCAATCCGAACAGAAAGCAGAGCTTTTTAGGTTCCCAGCAACACCAGACGTCTCCCGCCCCCACGTCCCCACTCCTGGACTATCTAAACACCGAGACCCAAAAAGTGGAGTCCACCCGCTTTTCAGGGCCAGAGAGTCTCCCGGGCTGGGATTCTCTCCCGTTACATAACTGGGGCCTAGCGCCCTGCTTCTGCAGTCAGTCTCCAGGACAGGGAGACGGACGTGTTCCCCAGGGACCCTCTCAGGGAGGTGGAAGCTGGGCTCTGCACCTGGTCGACCCCGGAAAAAGAAGGGGGAACCACTCGAGGGAGGCCGCAATCAGAGACGCTGGGGCACAGGGGGTGATGAGCAGGCCCGGAGAGGAGCAGGGCGGCTCCCGGAGGCCCGCGGCAGGCCCCGGCGTCTCCGACACTAGTCCACTCCCCTCCCTCTCCGGCCGAGTCCCACCGGCCGCCCCCTCCCCCATTCCGCGCTCCCCTCCCCCGCGTCTCCATCCCCGGCCCCAGCCGAGAGGCAGGCGGACCAGCCGAGTAAGGCCTCGGCCACGGCCAAAGCACCGCTCCCAACCCAGTACCTGGTCAGACATGGTGACGGTGGCTTCACCCAGGGTCTCCGCACAGCAGCGGCCTCGGGTAGGCAGAACCTCGCTCCGGGGTTTACAAATCCGTCTATCTTCCCCACAGCACAACACCGCGGCTGGAGGGACTTCCGCTACGCGTTGCGTCACTTCCGCTACGGGTTGGGAGGAGGGATAGGGAAAAGAGGAAAGGCGAGGCGGGAAAACGGGTGGGGGAGCCGCCCCGAGGCGAGAGGGCCCAGGAGCTGCTTTATTGGTGGGCGCTCGAGTGAATTAACAACGGTCTCCTCAGCTCCACTGAGGACTAGACCTTTCGCCTCCGTCCGGAGCCTGTCCTCCAGGGGAAAAGTTCGCGTCTTAGTGTTTGGAAACATACAGCCGCACTCCTGCCCCTCTGACACCTAGCACGTTTTTGGAAAGCTGAGCTAAGATATTTCTATTGTCTCTTCCTGGCCTTGCTCGTCAACTTCCCCAAGTACAGTGGATTGAATACTAGTGCTTTTTACCGTACAGCTAACTTTTGATTAATCGGCCACTCTGCCTAGCACATGACCTTGATTTTTTTTAAAAAAAAAGCAAAACAAAACAAAACGATCCCATTGGATACGATCTTGATGGCTACTGATGAAAGAGATTCTTGGGAAAGTTTTAAACCAGTGGGGAGGGGGAGGTAATTCTGACCCTTGAATTAGTTGCTTTAAGTTAAAGAATGATTGTTTTTATGACTTCTTTAAAATACAGTGGCCCTGCTAGCATAAGGGTAGAAGATAAGGATTTAGACAAATGAAATAGAATTGAGATTCTAGAAATAATAAACCCTGACACACTGACTAATTTTTTACAAGAATATCAAGACAATTTAATGGTGAAAGGATTTTTCAACAAATGTTACTGAGACAACTGGATATCCACGTGCAAAACACTGAATTTGGATCACTACCTCACAACATATGAAAAATTAACTTTAATGGACCAAAGGCCTAAATGTAAGCACCAAAACTATAAAACTCTGAGGAGATGGAGCGCCTAGGTGACTCAGTTAAGCGAGGGACTCTCAATTTTGCTCAGGTCATGTTCTCAGGGTTGTGACATCAAACCCCATCTTGCCTCTGCGCTCAGCACAGTCCGCTTGAGATTCTCTCTCTCTCTCTCTCCCTCTGCCCTTCCCACCTGCGCACTCTCTCTAAATAAATAAGTTAATTAAAAAAAAAAAACTCAGGATAAAACATAGGCATAAATCTCCTTGGCCTTTGATTAGGCAATGGATTCTTAGGTATGACACCAAAAACACAAGCAACCAAAGAAAAATAAATAAATTAAACTTCGTGAAAATTAAAAACTTTTGTCTTTTGTGTTGAAAAAATCTAAAGAATGAAGAAAATATTTGCAAATAATATATCTGATAAGGATCTAATATTCAGAATACAGAAAGAACTATTACAATTCAATCATAAAAATATAAATAATGCAATTTTTAAATGGGTAAAAGATCTGAATAGACATTGCTCCTAAGAAAATATGCAAATGGACAAATGGACATGAAAAACGTTCACCATTATTAGCCATCAGAGAAATGCATATTAAAACTACAATGAGGGGCACCTGGGTGGCTCAGCCGATTGAGCTTCCGACTCTTGATTTCGGCTCAGATCGTGTTCACCAGGTCGTGGGATGAAGCCCCATGTCCAGCTCCCCGCTCAGCAGGCAGTCTGCTTCTCTCTCTCCTCCCCTCCGCCTGCTGGACTGTGCACATGGATGCTGCCTCTCTCTCTCTCTCTCTCTGAAGTGAATAAATTAAAACACACACACACACAATGAGATACCACTTCATGCCTACTAGAATATCTGTAATCAAAAAGACAGATGACAATAATTGACAAAGATATGGAAAAATTGGAACTTGTATACTGCTAAGTGGAAATATAAAATGCTTTGGACCTTTCCGTGCTACCCAGGGAGGGAGAGGTCCCTACAGTGTTGTTTTGCATTCCCATTGTAACTTAAAGGGAAACTTTCACAATGTCCAGAGACATTGATGTCCTGCAAATGAAGGAGGAGGATGTCCTCAAATTCCTTGCAGCAGGAACCCACTTAGGTGGTACCCGTCTTGACTTCCAAATGGAACAGTACATCTACAAAAGGAAAAGCGATGGTATCTACATCATAAATCTGAAGAGAACCTGGGAGAAGCTTCTGCTGGCAGCTCGTGTCATTGTTGCCATTGAAAAGTCAGCTGATGTCGGTGTCATATCCTCCAGGAATACTGGCCAGCGAGCTGTGCTGAAGTTCGCTGCTGCTACCTGAACCACTCCTATTGCTGGAAGCTTCACTAACCAGATCCAGACAGCCTTCTGGGAGCTGAGACTTACGGTGGCTACTGATCCCAGGGCTGATCACCAGCCTCTCACAGATTCATCTTACGTTAACCTGCCTACCACCGCTCCGTGTAACACAGACTCTCCCCTGCACTGTATGGGCCTTGCAACAAGGGAGCTCACTCAGTGGGTCTGCTGTGGTAGATGCTGGCCAGGGAAGTTCTGTGCATGCGTGGCACCATTTCCCATGAACACCCATGGGAGGTCATGCCTGATCTGTACCTCTATAGGGTCCTGAAGAGATTGAAAAGGAAGAGCAGGCCACTGCAGAGAAGGCTGTGACCAAGGAGGAATTTCAGCATGAATGGACGGCTCCAGCTCCTAGGTTCACTGCTATTCAACCTGAGGTGGCAGACTGGTCTGAAGGTGAGCAGGGGCCCTCGGTGCCTATTCAGCGGTTCCCTCCCGAGGACTGGAGCGCTCAGCCGGCCACGGCGGGGTGCCTGGGTGGCTCAGTCTGTTAAGCATCTGCCTTCTGCTCAGGTCATGATCCCAGAGTCCTGGGATTGAACCCCTCATCGGGCTCCCTGCTCAGTGGGGAGCCTGCTTCTTCCTCTCCCTCTGCTGCCCACCCCTGCTTGTGCTCTTTCTGTCTGACAAATAAATAAATAAAATTTAAAAAAGAAAAATTTAGGGGCTCCTGGGTGTCTCAGTCGGTTAAGTGTCTGCCTTCGGCTCAGATCATGATCTCAGGGTCCTGGAATCGAGCCCCGCATCGGGCTCCTTGCTCCGTGGGAAGCCTGCTTCTCCCTCTCCCACTCCCCCTGCTTGTGTTCCCTCTCGCGCTGTCTCTCTCCCTGTCAAATAAATAAATAAAATCTTTAAAAAAATAAAAATAAAAAATAAATATAAATTTAAATAAGTAAAAACATTGACTCACAGTGGGCGCCTGGGTGGCTCAGTTGGTTAAGTGACTGCCTTCGGCTCAGGTCATGATCCTGGAGTCCCGGGATCGAGTCCCGCATCGGGCTCCCTGCTCGGCGGGGAGTCTGCTTCGTCCTCTGACCCTATCCCCTCTCATGTGTTCTCTCTCTCTCAAGTAAATAAATAAAATCTTTAAAAAAAAAAAAAAAAAAAACATTGACTCACTGAATCATATAGATTTCCTAAATGTTGACACATTTCATTATAAAATTTTAAAAATCATATTATTTTCACAGACTCATCAAAAAACGTGGTCAATAATATTATTTTTGGACTTATCAGAAAAAAACTTGTATTCATCACTGTCAAATTCACAATGATGAATACAAGTTTTCCAAAATGCTAATTTTTGTGTAAAAGCTCAGATTTTGTCATTGACAACAAATATTGGCAATTGTTTTCTTTGTTAGACTTATTTGTCCATTTTTTTGAGAAAATATCTGCTATATTTCTAAGTCTGAATAATGATTATTGACCTGCCATTTGTTCTATCACTTAAAAACAGTGTTCCTTTTTTTTTTTAAGTGGCTAAATCATCTTGTAACTCCATCTTTTGTGTGCTTTTCCTGGAGATAGCCATCTTATGGAGAAGAAATAGCTGTATTTCTTCATTAATAAAATTAGTGTTTTTGTGTCCCACGGCTGCTATAACAAATTTCCACAAACTTCATGGCTTACAACAACACAATTTATCATCTTACAGTTCTGAAGTCAGAAGTCAAGGTGTTGCAGGGCTATGTTCCTTCTGGAGGCTCGAGAGGAGAATTCCTTTTCTTACCTTTTTCAGCTTCAGGAGGCCACCTGCATTTTTTGGTTTGTGGTCCCTTCCTTCATCTCCAAAGCCTGCTGGATCTTTAGCAACTACCTTCCCTCCCCTACACTCTTCCCTCTACCTCTCCTTCTCCTTAGCTTCTGTCTGTGGTCACATCTGCTTCTCTGACTCTGACCCTTATGTCTCCCTTGTCTAAGAACTCTTGTGATTACATTGAACTATCTGAGTAATCCAGGATAACCACCTCATCTCAAGATCCTTATTCACACCTGCACAATCCTATCTGCCATGGAAGGTAACATATTCATATTTCCGGGAGTAAGAAGTAGACATCTTGGGGCGCCTGGGTGGTTCAGTCAGTTAAACTTCTGCCTCCGGCTCAGGTCATGATTCCAGGGTCCTAGGATAGAGCCCCACATCGGGCTCCCTGCTCCGTGGGAAGCCTGCTTCTCCCTCTCCCACTCCCCCTGCTTGTGTTCCCTCTTTCGCTGTCTCTCTCTGTCAAATAAATAAAGAAAATCTTAAAAAAAAAAAAAAAGTGGACATCTTTAGGGGACCATTGTCCAGCCTACCACAATTAATTTTTTACTGTTTCATCAAGGACATTCTTAGGTGAAACTAGTTTTTTTTTTTTCAAGCGCGTCACAGTGAGGAGTACAATGAATGCTAGCATAGTTGGCATCACTGTCTTGATTCAATGCTAAAATGCCAGCAGTTTTATAAACTATGGCTTTGCATTATCAGTGCTAATGTTCACACAGTGAATAAAGCAAATAATATCTAAATATTATTATGAAAATAATTTTGACCTTGCAGGCCTCCTGGAAAGGCCTCAGGTCCTCTGTATCCCACGGACCATATTTTGAGCTAGAGGGAGGGAAGTAAGAGCTTTTCCTGGCCTAGATGAGTGAGAAGAGGAAAAGAGGCAAGCATGACAAATTCTGTATGGTAGAACCATGGTTTGGGAGGGAGGAGCTAGAAAGAAAACACCAGAAAGGAAAGTAAGGGACCATTCACAGAAAATCTAGTAAACTATATTAGGAAATTTGGACTTCATCCTGATATGCATAGGGCTGGACGTGGA